CCGAATTTCCTAGTTTTGATAGAATTCTTATGAAATCAAATTATTACCATAATTTGATGGTTTTGGACCTTTTTATTCATTAGTATAAATAGGAGATTACTTTTCACTGTAACAACTTTTGACTTTTGCTTAATATTATAGAGAGAGAATTGTTCTTTTAATTTATTGTTCTTCTTGAACAATCTTGGAACTTATCAAGATTCAACTTCTTGTGGCGTTCTAATCAATCGAATTGTGGGTTCTTTTAATTGTAATCAAGGGGTTTTAGGTTCTTCGCTAATCTAGGGTTTCTTGGTTCAATTCTTGAGGTTCAAGATCCAAAACTGGTTAGTATTGGCGTTCTTGGGTTCCACATCAATCTCGTTGTGGGTTTCGTAGTTTTCATTGCTACGGGGTTCACATTACATCACAAGCCTCGCCGGTTCGATTTTTCAACCACCTTGGCTTCTTCATCACAATTCAGCCATCACAAGCCTTGCAAGTTCGGTTTCTTAACCACATCGGCTTCTTCATTACAATTCAGCCTTCACAAGCCTCGCAGGTTCGGTTTCTCAACCATCTCGGCTTCTTCATCACAATTCAGCCATCACAAACCTCGCAGGTTCGATTTCTCAACCACCTCGACTTCTTCCTCACAATTCAGCCTTCACAAGCCTCACAGGTTCGATTTCTTAACAACCTCGGCCTCTTCATTACAATTCAGCCTGCACAAGCCTCGCAGGTTCAATTTCTCAACCACATCGGCTTCATCATAATCCAGCCATCACAAGCCTCGTAGGTTCGGTTTCTTAACCACCTCGGCCTCTTCATTACAATTTAGCTCTCACAAGCCTCGCAAATTCGATTTATTCAACCACCTCGGCTTCTTCATCATTTATCCACAATAGCACATTTCTAACTCCAACCATAATATAAATATCTATACTTGAACTTGGGGGACTATTATTTGGGGTTCAAAAATTCTTTCAAATTTTACCCAACTCACTAGCTTTACTTCATTAAAATCCACGCATTACATAAATGACTATACTTGGACTTGTGGACTATTGTTACGTGTTAACACACTTGGCCAACCCACTAGGGCCTATGACCCACTCATGTTGAACTCCGATCTTACACAAGGATCCTCTTTGAGTGATTGATGGGACACCCATCATAGAGCACAAGTGTATTGTCTTGTCAACATAGTGGCAGAGCTGCTAATTAATTAATGTGTAGCAGGCTAGGAAATCGAATGTAACACCTATAATTGGATAGGTAAACTTACGAGATGAGGCCGCATGCTCTCCCAATCAAGGGCCACAATCTAAGTTGTAATACTATAAATACTCTCCATGTATCTCTCACAAGGGTAATGCAAGAATCAATACAAAAAATAACACTTTACT